CTATTATCTTAAGGATTCAGCACAAAGAAATCAAAGGCTTTTGTTTTATACATCCTATAGATAATCTTCTAAGTTTGAATAAGGACACATTTTACCTTTATATTCTGAAGAGAGAATAAGAGATACTAGCTTATGTACCCATTTAATGTACAGGAATGACATAGAACGCCCCAAGAGGGAGTGGGTTCAGATCCAAACTCCCAAGTGGACCTAAGGTTCGGTAAAAATTAGTCCAGCAGTTTGTAGTCACACATGCATACATATTCTTTTGTCAAATTATAGTATACATTAATCCTGTGGTAGAGCTCTGGACTTTGGAGCTGGCGAGCCGGATTCGAATCCGTAAGACACCACAAAATATGCCTCGCACTTTAAGCTATGGGTGCATTATAAACAGTCAACTCTTTAGCATGAACGGCGGATGGTACGATGCTGCTGAGTGACTGCTTTCCTTCTCTAAAGTGGTAAAAAGAGCGATAGATAGCATTAGTATTTTTGGCATAAATACAAAATACAAATACTTTTAGTTTATTTCAGTTTCTTAAATGAGATATGGCTTTATTTTGAAATCTAAAGTCGAGAAGATTCTTAAACCACGTATTTCTAATAACTGATAATTTTAGAGTAACCTGATAATCGGGTTTATTAATCATTTGATATCTACATTAAACATTTAGAGGATGAGTTGGTTGATAAAATAGTATTTCAGAGAGTGGATATTTTAATGTTGCATGGTATTTCAGTGCTTTACCTTTAGTGTTAGCAGAGGATTGAAACAGCATTCTGTTACTTTTAGTTTTTTCAGAATATAATACAATTTTGTCAAATTTATCTAAAAAGTTTTAAGTAATTTTAAATGATTAACACTTTATATAAAAATCCAAAAAAACGTAAGGAAGTTGTATTATATAACTTTCTCTTCGATAAAGTTTCTTCTTACTTCGTGTAAGTTTAAAAGCCTGAAAGATTAGCGCTGGTTGTGAGATGTCACTTGTGATTTTAGGCTAAGTATATTCTGAGTGGATCGTTTTCATTATGCACAATCTTAGTGCAAGTTAAATTTGGAAATTTCACAAATTTTCTTCGTAACCATATCATAGAGTAGGTAGACTTTATCTGCTTGGGATGCCAAGGTACTCAATAGGCATAATATAAATATGCAGGCTAAAAAATCAGCATTGACAGATAGTTTTACTTTAAAAGATGATTGCCATTCATTTTAGTTTGTTTCTCTATGTAACAAGCCCCCAAAACAAGGCAAGAAACCATCGCTAAGATACTAAACCAGAAAGTGACCAACTCACCAAATTGTTCATCTTGTTTCAGTCGAGCTAACTCTACAACTACTTTATCACTAACGTTAGTTTAAACCTAAATCCACTCTATGTGTTTCTGGGCAGTGCACGACGACATAGATTAATTGTAATATCTAGTAGTAATGAAAAAAATCACAATTCTAGTGTAAACGATGTTATCATTACCCCTTGAAATAAGCTTTCTTAGAGAAATCTGACGTTCATTTAAAAAGCTTAAACACAGGTTGAAATAGGAATTACCAGCCAATAACAGATGAACATTAGATGACTGTAACATGTAGAATACTTAATACTTTGTACACTATATAATCGGTGTCTTTAGGGAGCCAACCCCTATATTATGTATGAAGTGAAGGAGTAAAAAAAATCAATATACATAGTATTCAATTTTAGTACACACATTCATAGAATACACTAACTTTCGGTCAGGGGAACAAACGTCACAAAACAAGTAATAAAAATAATATTTGTAATGGTAAAATTATGCCAAAAAGGTAGCAAACAAGAATATAGTGATGATACAGCTGTACATAGATAATACCTACAGGACTTTCAATACTAAAATTTAATGTTACTACAGTTGGAAGTTATATATTCCTGACTGTTGGCATACAGTTTGTTTATCATAATTTTATGGTCACGTCAGGTTAGACATCAGTGTAGTGCAACTAAGAGCCTAGGACTTACGTACAAGGAAAACCAAGTCTTGATTATTAGAGACTCTCACCATGAGGTCGGTCGAATTGACCGACTTCTTAACCATTTTGTTCTCTTGTATTTTACAGTGAAACATTAAATATTAATATTAAAAGTCATGTAGGGATGAACTATGTATAGCTGTATCATACCTATATTCTTGTTTTCATTCTTTTTAGCCCTGCCATCCATACATCATTTTACATTTACAAAATTACTTGTAGAATCATTAAGATTTATTCTTTAACAGAACGTGTTTTAATTTAGTTACACATACTTATTTTCTTCAAGTTTGAGTATAAAACAAAATTTTCATTTTAGTAGAAGTATCAATGGCTCAAAATTTTTCATTTCAGTTTGCGTGTGACTTTTTTAAATGTATGAAGAAATATTCGTAAATTCTCTTCTTAGCTTTTTCTTTGCTCTGATATAAATCTTTATTCAAACTAGCTGAGGGTAACCCTTAAGGAAATAAATTCTGTATAAAAGACAATGTTAGATAATGTTACCTTTCCTTCTTTCTTTTGTTATTAAATTCCTAAGAACCTCATTAGAAACGAATTGCACACCCTACTGTGTGTAAGTTAATAACTGACTCATTTAACTGATTAACTACTTGTGTTTTTAAATTCCAAGGCAAAAATCGATTTAAAAAATGTGCCCTATTTCAGGGGCTTTTTTAAAATCCACCTTCTCAGGCAAAAATCTTAATATAGTAACCGTCGGGTAGTTTCCAGTTATCGTACCCAAAAATTATGGTAATTGGTCCAGCTAATTCTGGTTGATGGGTGCTAACATACAAATAATATATCATCTTTATAGTAAAATTAAAGATATAATTAAATTTGTCTTTTGTTTACAGAAAACCTTGAAGAACTATTAAAAGACGTAGCAACTCTAATTTTTGTTGGAAAAAACGTTGAGAGTGCTGGAGTTCCAGCTCAACTTCAGGTAATATTGCAGCCAAAATTATTGATAACAGCAAATGAGACATAATGATGAATAATTCAGGCATATTGAGACATGGGTTCTACAATTGGTTTATAATTTTTATATTATCATAATAATTTTAGTATTTACACTGTTGGTGATATATTTTGAAAATGTTACCACATTCAATTATATACGCAACAGATAGTTCGTTAGCATAAGATAATTGTCTCGTAGTCAATTATTATATGTGATTTTCTTTTCTTTTTCAGTTGTTTTAATATGATTTAGTATATTGCCTTAGATATGTTACAAATAATATTTACAGTTTAACGTTTGCGTATTTTCGGATGTAAAAGGAAAATCTTCAATATTAAGAGTAAAATCTCAGGTTGTTGTGAATTTTCTCATTCCATCATCAATTTATTTCAGTATACAATGAGTGGTCACAAGTAAATAGACACCTAATTTGTCGTCATTTAACTGATTTATGCTAACTAATTGTGTTCTACAG